AGTAGTAGTAGTACTAGTAGTTGCTGTTGTTGTGGCAGCAGCAGTAGCACTAGTAGCAGCAGGCAGTAGCAGTCGTAGCAATGGCACAGTGTGCCGGGAATTTAGAACAATTATTGAGGCAAGATTGCCACACAATCTTGCAATCTCGGTCTTGCCGACTAGTTTACCTTTTAGACCAACCGACCAAGCAATCTTGCAATCTGTCTCCAACAGGTTAACTAGTCGGCGAGCAAGTGGGGCAGGAGCAAGATGAGCAAGATTGATTGGCAATCTTGCTCCCCCGCCTGACCAAGACTGCAAGACGGTTCCGTAAAGTAATCGTTCTAAATTCCCGGCACAATGTAATAGCAGTAGTAGCATCTTTTGGATAAGTCTGTCTGTGCAACAGCAGCAGCAATCGTCGCAGGAGTAGCGGTGGTCGTAGTAGTAGCACTAGTAGTGTTAGTATTAGTAATGGTTCCTTCCTTCCCTTTGAGAGAGAAATACCAGTTCTTGCGCGTTGACGGGCTGCAAATACCTTAACTTGCAGCATTTCTGAGTTTGCTGTCTTTGATCCCTGTTTGTTTTTTGTGTGATCCCTACTTGATTTTGTCGATCCCTATTTGGCTTTTGGTCCCTATCCCGTGATGCTCGGCTACTCGTGGAACGCCCACCGTCTTCCCTCTGCAAGAGGGAATGCGCACAGAGAAGGTGCAGGTGATCATGCAAACAGTCAAGGCTTACCGGCTCGGACAGTTTTTCGGATCATCTCGAAGTCGCGGCATGCAGAAAGAACATGAATTTGCACGCCAGCCCAAGTGAAACAAATTGACAAAGTTAGATGCATCCATGCCGAGCGTCTGGCTCCCCAGAAAAACCACCAAATACATGTTGTCATGTATTGTATAGCCAGACAAATAAAGATAAACACGAATACAGAAGTGTACATCAGTACATGAGCATATATATATACACATATATATATATATGCATATGTACATGTGCATGTAAAGGAACATGTATATGAACATGAACATGTGCATGTACATGTATACGTATATGTATATGTGTGTATGCATGCAAGCAAGCAAGCAAGCAAGCAAGCAAGCAAGCAAGCAAGCAAGCAAGCATGCATGCATGCATGCATGCATGCATGCATGCATGCATGCATATGTATGTACTTATGTATATCTGTCTGTGCATGTAAATGTATATACACAGTCTGTATATACATATATATATATATGTGTATACATATATATATATATTGCCATTGTGTATAGGTGTATGTATGTCTGTATGTATGTGTATGTATGTACGTACCTAGGTATGTATGTATGTATGTATGCATACGTGTATATATATATATATATATTTATATGTTTACATATTAGCAACCGAGGTGCTGGGGCGCATTCGTGATTGATGTAGGCATAGTTCCAGCAGAACATCGCGAGGCCACATCTGTCGAGCTTCTGCACCTGTCGCAGCATCGGAGGTCTTCGGTATCGGCGGCACTATGTGAGAGCCTGAAGCATTTAATATAGCGGCCCTAACGATTTGAGTGTGCTGGTGCAGTTGGGACGCTTTGGGGATTGTGAGGGTAAGGCTTGGTGGATCGAAGAGCTTTACAGACTTCCAGAGACCAGGTCTGTTCTGGAGATCTTCGCATACAAATGCCCGGATGCTGGGGGTGACTAGTAGCCATAGTAGTAGCAGGTAGGAAGAATACTACTACCACTACTACTAGTACTACTACTACTACTACTACTACTGCTGCTACTGCTACCGCTGCTACTACTACTATTACTACTACTACTACTACTACTACTACTACTACGACTACTACTACTACTGCTACTACTACTACTACTACTACTACTACGACTATTACATAAAATTGCCGTGTGCTTAGTATTCCTTAGGCTACCAAAGAACTTGCTTGGGCAATCACTGCCTCACTCGCACAGATGGACTTCTACTGACGCGGATGCTTCTGGGTCGCCTCCGGCACGACCTTCTGGGCAACTGCCTCAAAAAGGTCCTTGGCAGGGCACAGGCGGCAAGCAGGCTTGTCTGAGTTCTGAAGTTGCATTGGACTTCGTCTGGAAGTAAGCTCCCGCCTCACCCAAAGCGGCTGAGCTCGCCACCGTACACAGGATCAGCGGCTTACAAAAGCTCCACATGAAGTAGACACAGCCTCGGAGACACGAAACTTGTAACTCCCTTGCCTGGTCTGACAGCCCCAACCCACAGGGTCAAAAGATCTTCAAAAGCCGAGGAGAGCGCAAACTGGATGGATGTCATTGATCCTCAGAAGCTCGGGTGTGAATGCGGATTAGGGCTATGCGTTGGTCACACCAAAACCACTTAAGGAACTAATATAGGAGCCTTAATAAATAGGGGCCATTATACTATATAATTAGAAAAAGGAACGCCCAACATAGTATGGCTAATATCAAGGAACTATGGCCTTGAGGTGCTTAAGCCTTGAGTGCTCGATGCACGCAGCAAAAAGGCCGGACAGCTACGTCTCATGCAGCACCGCTCACGAGGACTCGGATCCCTACGAGAGTTCTACAAAGCGCGACATCATCCCGGCTAGACCTGCCCTGTACGAGGCCTTCTGACACTGCTTCTTACAAGACAAAAGTGTGGGGCACAGGTGGGCAGCAACAACAAGTGTCGCCATTGGGCCATGACATCAAACGTGTGCTGCATCGCTACAGCAACCGCAGCCATGCGGCCTTTCCAGCAGCAGTGGGGCCAGGTGATCGTAGAACTCATTTGCTGCGAACCCACGAAAATTTCCTCGGTCTGCGGGCGTGGGCCAGGGTTGAGGTGCATATATATATATATACATATATATATATATACACACACACCCACACACACACACTTCGCAGCCGGATGCCGAAGTGTCTGACTCGGCTGAGGCAGCCACGGGGGTTCTCCAAAGAGCCTCCGAAACAGGCTCAGCACTCAGAAGGTGCAGATCAATCCAACGCTGACGGCTGCGAGCTTATGCAAAGTTTCAAGCAGCTCACTGTTTGGTTTCTCGAGCCCGGACGCTACATACGTGAGTCTTTCGGCTCCGCCCGCCAGCAGCATGCAGCTTGTGTGTCCCTGCCCGTGCCTCGGTTTGACCAGACGGCAGCGGAAGCTCGATGGAATGTCCAAAAACAAGGTTCGCGAACGTCCGAGAGAACCTGTGCGCAGGACACCTCTTCCCGACGTAAGTGGGATCACAGTTCTCGGCATGAACATAAAAGGCACACAGGCCACTGGTTTACACTAGCTATGCTGGCCGCTTCACGATCAACCCGCCTTGGTTGTTTGTTGCCTGCGCGTTCGTCTTCCATTTCTTAAAGCTTTTCCTCCGCCCTACCCCAGCAACCGCCCCAAACCCTTGCTGTAAGCTATAAGTCGATTCTCAGTGCCAGGCTTTTGGCTCAAAGTCGACCATGCCTTGTGCTGCCCGTTCAGCCTCAGAGTGGCCACGGGGTGGTCATGGTAGCCACAGTAGTAAGAACAGAGCCACCGATATACCAGCACTCATAGCAGTCATCATGCCAACAGTATAGCTAGAAGGGCATGGCACCAGGCAAGAAACGTGAAGAGGAGGTAACTACACTACCTGATAACAGCAACGAAGGCGCAACAGCGGGTCGAAGACTATAGTGCAGCGTTGCTAGACGACTCAGCACTGTACAACACTCCGCAAGTGCCGCAAAGGTGCGAGGGCTTCGTAGAGCTGCGTGTGCACGACACCAGCCTGCAGCCAAGTCACCCGAGAGCTTCGTTGCAGTATAGTATTTTGGGGGGCTCCGTGACAGAACTATAGCCAAATCCTACATAACCTTTATTATGACCATTATGAGGGGCCGTTGTATTCCTGGCTGGGCTTTGAGATTCTGCTTTCTCGAGGTGTTGTCTAAGCCCTAAACCATGAAACCCTAAACCCTACAAAGGAAGGGCAAAAACCCTGAACCCTAAACCCTAAAAATCTCTGAACCCTAGACCCTAAACCCTAAAACCCTAAACCCTAATTACTACAACCCTAATCCCTAACCCTAAACCCTGAACCCTAAAACCCTAAACCCTAATTACTAAACCCCTGAACCCTAAACCCTCAAAGGCCTCCGAAAAGGCCCACAGCAAGCCAGAAAGGCATCCACCATCGGCGTCAAAGACCAGCTCCTGAACTGAAAAGCTGAGGGCATACACTATGGGTGTGTGTATATATATATATATACCATAATAGGATACAAGCTTAGTATGGTATATGAAAGAATGTAGTATGTCATAGACTATATGTTCATAT